ATGATCCAGATCTGCAACTCCTCTCACCCCCTGCCCTGCTGATAGGATGACATCTTTGATGGGGCGGGAGACCCTGGAGAGGATACACAGGCTGAATCCTGTCTCTGTCCTGTCTCTGCTAAAGGTAGGACTGTGGAGGGAAGGCAGAGAGTAATGCAGGCCATACATGGTTCGAATTCCGAACAATTTTTCGTCCGAAAATCGAAAACCTCGTTCGCTCGGTAATCCGATGGTGCCATCAATGATTTCTAAAATCGGACAACCAAGTCATAAAGTTCACCCCATATAACAGGAAAAACATCTGTTCCTTCCAGGTCATGGTTCATGCGCATATTCTTTTTGGAAAAATGATCGTACGATTTGACCATCATTGAGTTGAAAATCGGTAGTTTTTCAAAAAATTTCCAATATGCCCGATCACCAAAAAGGGGAGGAACCATTGACCCACAAACAGTGCGAAAATCAGCCGATTATTCTTAGGTCTCAAAAATTGGTTGAATTTCCACCCATGTATGGTCGACCTAAGAGCGGATGCTGAAATTAGAGAGAAAAGGGAGGGTGGGGGGGGGCATGACTGCAAGGAACACTGTGATGAGGGACTGTGATTGCTAGGGGCACCATAATATAAAGGGGTGCTTTGACATAAAGGGGACTGCACTGTAAAGGGGCACTGTAATCAATACAGTGCCTCTTTACAGTGCAGTCCCCTTCATATCACAGTGCCCCTTTAGATTACAATGCGGAGGACCAACTGCATGAATATCCCAACCACCACCCCCACAAATGATCACCGCCCCCCCTCTGGTCCCTGAAAAAATTGACTGCCCAGTCTAAAATGTCCAGGCTTATTTATTGTCCCAGTCTGGGCCTGGCTGACAGTATATCTCTAAACACTGCAGAATTCATCCGGCTGCTTCTGTCATATCATCAATAAACACCAATGACCCAGTGCCACTGGAAGCCGTGCAAGCCCATGGCATCACACTGCCTCCACCATGTTTTACAGATGAGGTTGTGTGCTTTGGATTATTAGCTGTTCCAAGCCTTCTCCACACTTTTTTCTTCCCATCATTCTGGTACAGATTAATCTTAGTTTCATCCATCCAAAGAATGCTTTTCTAGAACTGGTCTGGCTTTTTTAGATGTTTTTTCTATTCTTCAGGCTTAAGAATGGCTTGCACCTTGTGGTGAACCCTCTGTATTTGCTCTCATGAAGTCTTCTCTTGATTGTAGACTTTGACAATGATACACCCACCTCCTGGAGAGTGTCCTTCACTTGTCTGGATGTTGTGAATGGGTTTTTCTTTACCATAGAGAGGATCCTGCGATCATCGACCACTGTTGTCTTCTGTGGACGTCCATTCCTTTTTATGTTGCTGAGCTCACCAGTGCATTCTTCTTTCCTCAGAATGTACCAAACTGTTGATTTGGCCACTCCTAATGTTGCCGCTATCTCTCTGATGGATTTGTTTTGTTTTTGTTGTATAATATGTTGGTTTGGCATTGTATGCATTAAGATAAAAAACCTTATGGGTACTGCTCCCCCCTCAGCCCCCCCCCCCCATGCTTACCTGATCCCCATCACACTCCAGGGATGTGCTCTCCCAGGTCTTTCTATCCTCATTGGCTCACACAACAGCAGTGTTGGCTCAACACTGCTGCAGTCAATCACAGCCAGTGAGCCAATGAGGACAGAGTGGGGGGTAGGGCGGAGCCACACTCTGGGTGTGAATGGACAATGTCCATTCACAAGATCACAGCTCAGGAACGAGTCACTCTGCTTGAATGCCCCCATAGCATGAGACTTGCTATTAGGGGCACTCAGCAGGGAAGGGCAAGGCACCTAGCTAGAGGATCCAAAAAGAAGAGAGAATCTGTGATGCTCTGTGCAAAACCACAGAGCATGTATGTATAATATGTTGTTTTGGGTTTTTTTTTTAAATGACAACCTTTAGAATCAGTTTGACAGCATGCTGCCAATAACCAGCAAGTGTATTTACATGGTGATCAGCTGTGATTGGATACAGCTGATCACGTGGCCCTTTACCGTGTCATGTGATCAACCAGATTCCACATGAAACAGCGATCATGGGGGGGGGGGGGCACACAGGGGGTGTGTTCTGGGAAGACATCATATGATGTCTTTCGGCTGCAGCTGTCATTCGGGAAGAGGTTAATTAGTACATAGTATGTTCAAATGTAATATCATTTCTTTTAACATAGTCAATACTGTGGTATGATGACAGCTTATGGAATATAGTTAACAAATATAAAATTAGACATTTTGTAAGCTCACTTCACTGTCACATGCATTTTCTCCTATGACTAATATACAGCTCCTTACTAATTCTGTAGTGTGTCCTCTCCATGCAGGATGTGCACATACCCAGTACAGATGTTTTGCTCATCTGTGTTACATGAACATAAGAAGGACAAGATTCCTAAATTCCTTGTTGTCCTATGAATCATCAATAAGCATTGTACCATGCTTCTCATCTGTCATACAAGACTAAGAATGTATTTCCCGGCTTTGGAAATTCTCATATGGTGATACTTTGGGTGTTTGGAATTACAATTTCTTATATCATACCAACATATTCACGACAGCTTCTAGAGAGAAAAATGAATGATTGCATGTGTGTTCTATAGAATTTGATTGGTTTAGTGTTATGTATCATTCATGCAGATTTTTAAATTAACAATTAGTCCATCCATTTTTCAATTTTTGGTAGATGCTACATGCACAAACTACCAACCATTTTTTTTATATCTCTAATATACTTTATTCGTGAGATAAAGTCATTAGTGTACAGTAATATAGAAAACAATGAGACCACGCATAATTAAAAATAATAGTAAATAAAATAACCATATACGCATTAAAGTCCCCAAAAATATATAAACCCAATGCTGGTGCTGGTGCTCAATGTATTATCTTCAAAAAAGTGCTAGAGATAGATGGTCATTGAATAGTGGTGAATGTCAGTCCATGTGGGGCACTTTTGTCAAGCACAGTGAAACACTTTTTTGAAGATAATACTTTGAGCACCAGCACTGGGTTTATATATTTTTTGGGACTTTAATGTGTCTATGTTTATTTATTTACTATTATTTTTAGATATGTGCGGTCTCATTGTTTTCTATACTATCATTTTATTGTGTTAATTTACACAAGTGGAGGACTGCAGCAATAGGTTTATTTGGATATTACTTATACATATCTTTCAAAAAAGTTTCACATCCATTAAGCGCATAAGCACCTTTTGTTTATTAGTTAGTGTATGGTAGTTAGTGGGTGAGGACAAGTTAGTGTATTTTTTGTTTTGATTGGTTGGAGGGCATTGTTCATCTTGACTGACATGCATCTTCATTGTTGGATGACATTATTGATGATGGATTTACAATGTGCAAAACAGTTTAAAATCTTTTAATAAGAGACTTGTTAAAAAGCATGGTTCTTTATTAAATATTTACTTTTTTAAGGGGCTTTCCAATTTCAATAAGCCCTATGCTTGAAGACCCAACAGTTTGCACAGTGTTCACATTATAAAGTGAGATAGTACAGTTACAATACAATTCAATACAAGAGGGTTAGGAGAGCCCTGCTCCTGAGAGCTTACAATCCTTTTAGACTATGACTCTAACCACAGCCAAAACCAGGGGTGGCAAAGGCTCACCTGGTAATTAAAGGTGTCATGTTGACTTTATCTTGGTCAGACTAGTTAACTGGAATATTCTCAAATCTACTAAAGACTGCATGAAAGATCTGACACTAGCCCATACCAAAATTCTCTAAATACCCACACTTTTTACAAAGCCATTCTGCTATCATTCTAGCTCTGCTCTGGCTCACAATGATTCCACCCTTTATGCTAAAGGCAGAAGGTGCTATGAAGCAGTGGCTGGTGATATGCTGAGCAGTCCCCACTCTAGAGGACAGGTAAGTCTTTAGAGGGTATAAGTATATTCTTTTATATGGCAAATCAACGCGCCCATAGACATTCAGTGACAGCTCGTAAAATAAGGAGACAATTTAATGTCTATGGGTCAGAATAAGATGAAGCCAGTCAAGGCTTACAGGAAGAAGAAAGAATCAGACAGGTTTGAAAACCTTGTCTGATCAATATTGTTTCCTTTGGCATTGGAGGTGTCTGCAGCATGCCTCCCTCTTCTCCTTCACTGCCTAAAGCACTGTCATTTCTGGTAGGAACGGGGCACTGAAATACAAGAGTAGGTGCGTCAGGACACTTGGATTGCATCTGCATGTCTAACTGTTCTCCAATGTCTATGGCCGCCTTTGAAAATAAAGCTTAGCATACCATAGTCATAGAACCATTCTTTGGAATCTAACCTCACCCCAAGGTATGGTTGACAAGTGCTGTTTTCCTGTGTTTGATGTGCATTTGGAAATCACCTCAAGTACAGGTCAGCAATATCTCATTGACTTTAATTAAGCAATACACATGGCAGCTCAAAGATGCATTTGGTCTGCTTTGTGCAGCACTGTTTCTTCAGACACAACATGTTCTTTAAGAGTGCATTTGAACTGCAAGCAGGTTAAATGTAGCCTTCTCTTTTCATGAACTTGAATGAAAAATGCTGCGTTTGAGTAGAATGCCTGTCAACATGAACCCTTAGGCCCCTTTCATACAGATGGTCCTGAAAAATGAACAGGTGGACCCCACTGGACCATCCATTCTCCTCTATTGGTAGACGGATCTAAACAAACTTGTGTCCGTTTACACCCATTTACCTCCAATCTGGCAAAAACAAACTGAAGGGGGATCTGCTCCCTTCTGTCTGGCCAGCTCAGATTGGATGGCAGTCTGGTGTAAATGGACAGCTTGTCTATTTGCATCCAACTGCCTATAGAGGAGAGCAGGCTGTGTCCTTGTCCACTCTGCATAAGCAGAGCAGACATGGACCTGTCCTCTGGCAGCTCCTGTCACCTCAGCAAGGGATCGGTGGATGGAAACCCTGCTGAGCAAAACCAGATCCAGCCAGTTTGAAATGGGCCTTACCAGGGGCGGACTGACAACTCATGGGGCCCCCGGGCAATAGGGGATCATGGGGCCCCTATGTCCTTGCCCAAACTCAAAAAGCCTATGAAAAAGGTACCAGGGGCATCTCATGGGGCCCCCTACTGACCCCGGGCCCTTGGGTAGTGCCCAAGTTTCCAAATGATCAGTCCGCCCCTGGGCCTTACATGTATGAAAAAAATTCACCTGTGGACTTCAACCTTCAGAATTCCCAGATTTCATTTGTGGGTTTTTTTGTTATCAAACACTATTTTTGTCTAAATGTGATCATTTTAGGTCAGGTCTCTGCTTTTATATTTGTTCAAACTGTTCCCAAATTAAATATATTTCCATGTGCTTATCAATAAAAATGGAAACTGAAAACAGAACATTGAATATGTATGGCAATGCATTTATTCTCACATATGCCATGCTTAAGTGGTTATTGAAATGCTGTTTAAAAATTGCTTCATAAAAGGCAAGGCTTACTTGTTCACCACCTCCATTAAATTTACAGGTAAAAGTGGAAAATGAGAAAACAGTAGAACAAGAGGAAATAAGACATTAAAATTTTGAAGTGAGGAGGAAATTATAAAAGCATAAAGCTGCCGTCCCTGAGGGAACAGCTGTGCATGTTAATCCCTCCTGGGCTTCTCCCATCGGATTCCCCTTCCTTCCTCCTGTCCTCGTCTAATAGCTCCCCTGTTACTCCAGGACAAAACTAGTCCTTTGTGCTTGGTCTCAGAACAACATTAAAAACAGGAATGGGGAAATTGTAAACAGGAGGCTTTTGGCCTTCAAGCCAAGGCACACACAGGCCTCCGAGGCCTACTGCATGTTAAGCAAAGAAACAGATCTTTGTTGCTTAAGGGATTAAGGCTGCAGGATTTCTAGGCACTGTTAAGGCATTCAGCTGGCCTGAAGTAAGGACTTTGTAAAGAGATACCTGCATTATATATCTGCAAGCGGAAATCATTCATACTATTTATACAATCTGAGTAATGTGATATCGTCTGACTGTTAAATGTCTCTGTACAAGCAGAGGGGCCAACCTAGCTGAAGTGATCCATTTTGCAGCTCTAACTCTATTAACCCTTTTGAGAACCCATTTTACATAATATTGCTAGAAAATTATATTATTTACAAACACTGTATATTATTCTACAGATCAAGAAGGTACCCTATGAAAAGGTACCTGAGAACAAAAAATGTATTATTTTGCAGTTGAGCAGTCCATAGATGTGGTGGCTGAATTAGTCTTTTCAGGATTTTTTCTTCATTTTCACCAGGTGATCCTGACAGAATAATGTAAGAAGGAGGTGTTCTCTAGTTCACAATGGTAACCAGGGCAGAGCTTGAAATAACACTGCAGAGTGCACATGACAAGGGACATCACTGAATTTCTGGCAGTGTAAATAGTTATTTGCTGCACTTTTCAATCACATGTAATAAAACACATCCATTGGTATAATTAAAAGAGAAATGAAGGAATTAAGAAAAATAAACATTCATACCCATGTAGAAGCAGCATCCGTCTGATCCTGTAGAACTGAGTGATCAAAGACTTCTAATTGCTCAATTATTGAGTCCACTCAGTCACCGGCTCTCTGCTCTGCCCTTCTATTGCTTACTGGAGAGCAGGACTGTTGGGGGCAGCAGGACCGACTGACTCAAGCTCTCAGCAGCACGCTCAGCTATCTGGGCAGATCCTGACATTATTGTCAGAATCCCTTCAGAGTACAAAAATGGCCACTGCCCCCCAGTCTATAACTGGCCTTTACAGCAAGGAACACATGGATGGCCGATGCATGTCCAAGAAAACAAAAGAGAATACTTTTGTATTGTTGGTGAGGGGGCTCACTGGACACCTTAGCTGCTATTGTGCTACATGCTGGGTGTAAAATATGCTCCTGTACCTTTAAGGAGGGGTGGGCTCCCTCAAGCTCACTTGCCCTTGATCTATCCATTAAATACATGTGCCTCTACTAGAGTTAGGACTACAGACTATCGGGGTACAGTGAAGTGGCTCTGTAGCTTATGTATGCATTTACAAATGTGTGCTAACTAAATCCCTGTTTTTAACGCATACTGTTAGACTGGTTCATTCGGTTTGTTTGCAAGCTGGCTGGTAAGTTGAGCTGGGAATTTTTCTCTTTTGTTTTTTGACATGCGTCGCCCATCCATGTGTTCCTTGCTGTAAAGGCCAGTTATAGACTGGAGCAGTGGCCATTTTTTGTACTGTTGAATTGTTGGTGAGGGGGGCTCACTGGACACCTTGGCTGCCATTGTGCTACATGCTGGGTGTCCAGTGTGCTCCTGTACCTTTAAGGAGGGGTGGGCTCCCTCAGGTTCACCTACCAATTAAATACATGTGCCTCTACATGTACATGTATTTAATGGACATGTGTCTATCCATTAAATACATGTGCCTCTACTATGGGGACTTTCAAAATTTGTAGAGTTAGAACTACAGAATATCGGGGTGCCGTGACGAGGCTCTGTAGCTTACAAATGTATTTGCAAATGTGTGCAAACTAAATCCCTGTTTTTAACGCATACTGTTAGGCAAGTTAATTCAGTTTGTTTGAAAGCTGGCTGGCAAGTTGAGCTGAGAACTTTTCCCTTTTGTTGTTTGACAGGATCCCTTCAGAGCCTGAACCAGCTCTGTGACATCAGCCGCCAGCGGGTTCTAGCCAGCTGATGGCTGAATCTGGGCCACAGGAGTGCATCCTGCAACCCACAGGAGAATTATGGCCAGAAGAGCTTTGTCCATACTTCTCCTTTTAACATAATGTCCCCATACACTGTAAGGGGCCCTCTCCCCCTTTAAAAACCACTCAAGGTTAGTAGGTGCAAAATGTACCTGTAAAGAAAGTAAGTGTCCTTTTGCCACTGGTTGTTAAGCTGGTTCCTGTGAGGAGGCCTACAGTTACATTTTCAGTGATGGTGGGTCTAAGACCCCTGAAACCATCCTTCTGGGTTACTTTATTATTCAGGTTCCTCACTCATCCCAGCCCTTGGACCAGATGCATACAATAGGGTCCTAACACTATGTTACAAACATCACTGGGCATGACAGCCCATTATGGTCATAGGACTCACAGACCATCTGAAATCAACTTAGCTTCTTGTAAACTACATGCAGAGATGTCTCCTCTCCCTGTTAGAACAGCTCCCAGTTCCACAGCCTGCAGACACTACCAGCCCTCTTGCCCTGCTCTGAAGATCTCCCAGGACAAGAATAAAGGATTAAGCACAGTGCTGACCTTTGAAAGCTTGCTACATGTGGCAGTCTCTCCCCCTCTCGAATCCCTGGGTGTGCTGATGTACTCACTCTGATCACTGCTGAACGGGTCCTCCTGAGCCAGCCCTTCCAGATCTAGGGGACCCCTCCCAGGCCACTGACAGTCTCCTCAATGCTCCATCTTCCACCATAGCTGGTCTGACTATCCCATATTTATGGAATGGTCAACCACCCTACCAGGGACTCCAAACCTGGGATTGGTTAGACTCCCATAAACATGCAAATTAGGTCTCCACCTCTTCTACCTACTGGCTTCTGGAAGGTTCCCATGGTCTGCCAGAGCCATGCGGAGGCAATAGATCCCCACACTTTTAATCCATCCAGCTTGGCCTGCAGTAACCCGATCTTAATCACAGACTTACACAGTTACCATGAGTCATACACAATAGATTTGCCTACACATTTGTAGTAGCACACTAGAGGGTGCTGAACAGGCCAAAAGGAGGAAAAAAGAGAAGTTCAATGTAAGGGTTTACATGTTAATGTTATCTGTGTAGTGCAATTTCCTACTCTAAAACTGCACTTGGTTAATTGAATTGTCACCTCTAAATTACCATGCTTTAAAGGTATAAGACCACATGGACCTCTGGTAGAGTTCCTGACTTAGCAGCAAGGTAATTTAAATACCTAATGCAAAAGTAAGTTTACACAAGAAAAGATAATGACGAGAGCAAATATGAAATCTGTAATGCATTACACAGTAATTTTCAGTACCTATTCAGTTTCTGGAAATGGTGTTATAAAGACGAACCATGTTTTTTCTGTAAAACGTAAGGATTTTAGATGCCATAGACAAGGTATATCTCCTGGCTAATTACAATTATTATTTATTATTATAGTTATTATAACAGGATTAGTTTCTTGCATAAGATAAATCCAGTCTCTGGATTCTTATCTATTACACAGTAATTGAAGATATAAAAAATGCTGGAAAATATAGCAGTCATCCCAATAAAAATGGCATTATATGAAATATGCATCGATCATGACAGCAGTGGCTTCTTATCAGGCTGGCAGCTCTAACATTTTTTGGGGATATAGATAGGTCTTTAATGGGCCCGGCAAAACATCAAGCAGAGGTCCAGGACAGCATGGAGAAGAGGTAATAAACAGAAGTGCATGCATGGCGAAAAAAGGAAATTTTGTCAAAATAATATTCATTAGTGTAAACTTATTCTATTCTTATTTTCAGAGGTAAAGTTGTAGAGCCTCAGAGCACAGGGACTAGGGAAGGTGAAGCTTGGCCTTAAGGCAGAATCCTGAACCCAGGTAATGTGCTTGGCACACTTGGCCTAGGCAGCATGAAGAAGTAGCAATAAATATGTAGTCAGGTGCCGGATATATCATTATGCCAGTGGTGAAACTACCAGGGTCACAAAGGTTGCACTTGTGACTGGGCCCTGGAGTTCTGCCACGCTTGGGGGCCTGGAGCTGAAGCCAGCAAAGGGCATTCTGCCCTGAATCCTGGAGCCCACTGCTGAACAAGTTACGGCACTGAGCTCCATTACTTGCCTTACTGTGTGCGCTAGTGTGAACACCCAGTTCCCCTGTCCCCCATATTTTGCAGGTTGCCTGGATCCCCACACTGGTAATCGCCCCACCTCCATGATTGCTGGCATATCTCACTGCCCACTGTCTGCACACAGACCTCATTGAAATCGGCTCCTCCTCCTCAGCTCGGATGTTCTCCTGTACACAGACAGAGGAGCTGTGGAGGAGGTAAATTACATTGCAAGAGCCGTGCTGATGATCTGAGGTCTATGTTTATGGATGTACATATGTAAGGGGGATAGAATAACCGGGGAATGGGGGGCAGGTAATAATCATATCCACCTGGAGGAGTGATGGCGGGGTAAGAGGATGTATGCTGGTGGGTGCTTTGGGAGGGGAGAGGAC